GCACCACATATAGTTCTCAGTCTGAGGAGCCCGCATAACGCCCACGCCGCCGCCCAGTCGGCGGTAGTTCATGCAGCCGCACAAACGCCACTGGTTCGTCTCCGGGTCGTAAACTTCGATGGTTTTCAGATAGGCGGACCCATCAAAACCGCCCACCGCATACAGTTGTCCATTTACAACAGCCAGGCCAACCTAAAGGGACACAATTTCATTCATTAAAATATTATTCGAAAAGGAGAGGGGGAAAAAAAAAACTCACCCCACTGCGACGCGAGGTCATGGCGACGATGGGGCTCCAGGTGTTGGTCAGTGGATTGTAGCGCTCGGCGGACGAGAGCTCCATGCAATCGTCCCGCCCGCCGACTGCGTAAATGTAATTGTTGAACACAGCACAGCCCAGGTGCTTGCGTCGCGTGGACATCGGGCTGACGGCCACCCATTTGTTTTGTCTAAAAAAATTGAAATTACGAATTTTAAATCATGAATTTGCAATCACATGAAGGTACACTGGAAAAAGAAACCGTGGAACAACTATATTTGGAAAAAGTATTTTTAAAACCGACAAATTAAATTTTTGACTGAGACTATAATGCCCTCCGCTTGGGTATAATATTCAATATAAAGATGCCTAGTATTAACAACAGAATGAATATTGCTTTTATGACAGCAACCAAATGTTATTTTACTTATTTACCTGGGATCATATCGCTCCACGGTGTTTAACGGGCACTGTCCATCAGAGCCACCAATTGCATAAAGGAATCCTCCAAGGACGGCGACCGCCACTCCCAGCCGTCGTGTGGTCATAGGGGCCACCTTGGACCACTTGTTTTCCTTGGGATCGTACCGCTCCACGTGATTCAAGCATTGTACGCCATCCTGACCGCCCACCGCGTACAGAAACCCGTCGAGCACAGCCACGCCGACGCTGGTGCGGCAGGAAGTAGTGGGCGCTACGTCGCATGACCATTGATTCGTCTGCGGATCATAGCGCTCGATGCTGTTCAGATAACTTTGACCATCATGACCGCCCACGGCATATAGTAGGTCATTTAATACGGCCACGCCCACTCCACACCGACGTTTGCTCATGGGAGCGACCATTTTCCAGTCGTTAGTCTGCGGATCGAAACGCTCCACGGAGGCTATGGCATCGCCGGAGCACCATCCGCCCACGGCGAACAACACTTCGCCGCGTCGAGTCGGTTTGCGCGGTCTGGTGCGTGGTCCCTGCATCAGCGGTCGCTCTTGAGGGAGCAGCAGATAGTTCTTGGCCTCGTCCACCAGATCCCGGCAGGCCTCATCACTGCGCACCAGGAGATCGGAGCCGACTGTACCAACCAGGAACTTTGGAGAGAGTAGAGGCAAACGGACGTGTTGAAGAACCTGAAATGAATCCGGAGTATTTTTTATTGAAGTGTTATTTTACTAGATTCTTGCATTATTATTAAATTATATGTAGGGCCCTTTTCAGAAAATGTAATTGGGTTTGCAATAAAACTGAAGTCGAATTCAGGAAACAACTAATAAAACAGTATTTACTCAAAGTTAAATGACAAAAGTACAATTATTTCTGAATACTTAAATATATTACCTAATAAAATTTTAAGCTATAAACTTTCTAAAATTATTCAGAAATTGTATTCCTCAGACTATATTTTATCCAACAATTTATCATAGACTTTAGCCATTTATAACTATTTAATTACTGACAAAATTTGTATATATTTGTTTAGAGCTTCAAAAAGTGTAAACATTTTAGATGCATAATTTAAATAGCTTACCTGTGCCAGGTGCTGTCGCCTCTCGGCGACGTTGTATTTGAGCCAGGACATGACCGCGTTGAAGACCTGCTCTTCGGAGCGCACATTTAGCTCGTCGCTGCAGATGATGTCCACCAGCTGGCCGACGGGCAGCAGCAGGAACTCCTCGCTCTCCATTACGTCTTGGAAGTTGTGCTGTGTAAACTTGTCGGCTATCCGCAGCAATTCCCGGCAGGAGTGTGTGTCGGCGAAGGCGCGGATGCCCAGGCAGTTGGTGGGGTCCAATTGCCGCTTGAGGAACTCGCAGCAAATGTCCTGAATCTCCACCAGTTGCAGCAGGCAAGCGGCGGGGAGCAGCGTCTGAACATTGGCCTCCTCGACGATAATGTGGGCGGTGTAACAGAAATCAATGAGCAGCTCCATGGCGTTCTCGTCGATGTCGCGTATGGTGACCTCCGTTTGGCGCGATTCTTCCAGCTCCCCGGTGAACATGGCACAAAAATAAGAGCTGCAGGCGGACAGGATCACTCGGTGGGCGAAGATCTTTCGCCCACCCACGTTCAGCACCACATCGCAGAGCTCCCGATGGCGGCGCAGCATATTGAGTTCCGTGAGCGTGACCTTCGGATGTTTCTCGGACGTGTGTGAGAGCCGGGCGGGCGAAGGCGGTCGGTCGACGACCTTCGATTCGACGGATCGGTCGACTCCCACTCCCGCTGATCCGACGGATCGGTCCACGCCCGTTGAAGAAACTTATAAATTGGAAACGGTAATCAATTACTATATTATTGTAATGTTTTAAAATAAAGTCGAATCATACTTAGGACTGCACTTACCGGTGGATCCCGCCTGGTCGCCCATTCTGTTCGCTGCTAAGCGCAGCGGGCCGGAAGCAACCCAACCCCACACGGCGTCTATCTGTAGATAAAATGGAGCAAAAAGGACATTAAATTATGGGTTACATTTTATCATATATACATATAGTATTTTGGGTTGATATTAGGAAGTTTATTAAAATCTATAATAACAATTATTTAAATCAACATGACAGGGAATTGTGAGCTGAAATTGTTCAAAGCAATATTGCAGTTTTTTAAATAGTTACTTTATTTCGGTTAGAGTAAAGATTTTTTAAGATTAACGGTTTAAAACGAGACAAAATTGTAGCTAAAAATAAATAAAGGTATTTAATATTGTGTCTTAAAATACCTAACATTACTGATTTTGTCTTTAAATTAGACAAATTTTCGTGTTTGAATTAAGTCTGGAACAAAATAACAATGAAAATTGATATTTAGGATTAACATTTCGGATTAGTTTTATCTTTCTTTCTTTATAAAACAAAACAGCACATCACATTAGTTAGAGAGTAAATCATAAAAATTCTGATTGTTTTTTTAAATTTATACAGTACTTTTATACAGTACTAATTTGGAATGAAATGTTACTTTATTTTGTTGATAACACATATCAAAGAGTTATTAACAACCGGGAAGGTAGTTTAAGTCATTGCTGAATTTTTATAGCAAAATTAACTATTTGGACACTGAGAGAGGCGACTCTGATTTATTTTACTTTTGCTCCACCAACTTTTGCACCGCCCACACACAGGCATGCTATGTAACACGCACACATTTACACTCTTGTATCCACAAACATTAAGATGGACCTTTTTTAAGAAAAATAAAAATAATTTTGTTAAAGTCGATTTAACGTATTTTGGTTGCTAGGTAAAAAATGAATACCTACTCAAAAATCCAAATAATAAAACATTAAGTTTAATAACTTCTTAATGAATGACGTGAAGGTTCATAATAAATTTTAAACACATTAGTCGATTATTCTGTTTATTTTAACCCGACTGAAAATAATATAGACATTATGAACTGACTTCTACTTCACTATAAACCTAATGAATATCAAGTTAAAACAAACTTAAAAATGAAAAGTAATGATATTTTTTAGTTTTTATTACAGGCACACCACAGGGGTAACCTGGTCCACCTTAAAACACACACACGCGGCCGATGTTGGTTTAAATGTAAATGTATATCTAGGAGTATATGTGGGTGTCACAACCTTTGCGTCTCTGTTCTCCACGGATACAAAGCACGTCCAGGGCCAGCTGCAGGCGGAAATTTTCGAAAATGCAATCTTGCGGCTGGCTTATAGCGACCACATCGAAGATTTTCCTTGCCCAAAATTCACTTTTTAGCAGGGAAAATTCGCTTTTTTGTGGCCTGGAAAAGTCGAAACACACGATTGGGTACGGTACGAAGGTATTCAGCGTGACCATTTACGTACGGTCAAAACAAACCCTGGGATTTTGGGAAAAATACTGAAAATGGTTGATACTGGACGGACTGAAACGGGCTTCCTAAATCGGAAAATATGGCAGCCCTTTTCGTTTTTAAAATGTACAAGTTTGGAAAACTTCGAGACATTTTAGGAGAGTTTTCAAATCATCTAAATATTTCTGCGGGGTTCTGGTAAATGCTACAAATTTTCTGATTTCAAATTCTTCGATAATTTTAAAAAAACTTAAGGCTATAAGGAATATGATAAAAAATAGAAGACCTTTTATTCAATTGCAAAGAATTTTTTGAAAAAAGCTATGAACCCATTTTTTAATTGCCTTTTAACATTTCTCTGGGAGATAAGGTCTCTATTAAGGGCACCCGATTTTTTTTATCAGAAGTATACATTTTTGATATTATTCTTTTAAATTTCTATGATGTTATTGGCAGTATTTTATTATTACAACCGTTTGCGGGGATATCACATGGCTTATTTGTCTTACTTTTCCATTTTACTCGAAACTGCATTTTTATATAAGATTTGTATTAATAAAAAAATTAAACTTAATTAATTTAAAAATAGGCTTATTCTCGGTTTTCTTTCTTCCCGGTAGGGAACTGGTTAATACAGATTATTAATATTTTTGGATTTTTATGTTTCAGATAAACAGAAAAGCTAAATCCGTCAGCAAGGTTATTTTTATAGCCACTTTTAAAATAATTAAAACAAAATAAAAATAAATGGTACAACTGTGCTTGCACTTTGAAGATTTTTTGAAGATTTTTTATTGAATATATTACATAGTAGAGGTGTCTTTTTTGGGAGTCTACTGTATTTAGGGTTTCTGCCTTTTTTGGAAGAAAACGGTATTTTAAAAATACAACCTGTTTTTTTGTTGGTATATTCGTGATAACCCATTTGGTATATGTGCACATCGGTCATACTATTTCTATACGCGACGCTGACAAGAAAGGAAAGCAATTTTCCAAAGGTTTAAAAGCCCATAACATAGTGCAAAATAGTAACTAAATTTAAGTGCAACGTGTAAATATATGCAAAACGGATCGTGATAATTTCCCAAACGGCGGTTAATTTGATATTGGAAAGTGCAAAGAAAAGTACGTGAACTGGGCAAGAAAAGAGAACTCAATAAAGTGAGACAGTGTGCGTGCGAAGAGTTTTTCGTCTCCCTCGCACTAAAGTGGAGCGCACTCAATTATTTTGTGGATGGAGTGGAACAACAACAACGACACAGCACCAAAAATACAAGCAGCAATAACACCAACAATAAATGCAGAAAATGTTAAGGAAATCACAAAGAGAGCGAAAAACGAGAGAACAATAACGAAAGCGTTAGAATATAATGCAATCGATGCATTAAATAGAGTACAAGTACAAAAATTGCATTGGAAATTGAAATTCGTGCGACAAAAGCGAACGATTGCAGAAATTTTCGAAACTTGGCAGCCATATTTACTACAAAAACAACGCCGTTGTAAAAATACGTGACAAAACGCTTCCACGAACACACACGCACTCAGTCCTACACCCACACACTTTTGGCATCACACACATCATCGCGTACTGAAAGAGTAAGATAGAGTGAGAAAGGGAGACGCGAACGTGAATTAACAAACAAACAAAAATATTTTGCGAAAAAGACAAACACAAAAAACCCAATAAAGTGTATTATATAAACAAACAGTGGGTCGATAACGAAATATTATGGAAATTGCACCACTAATCAATAACGCCGTCGCTGTCGTCACAGCCTCTGCTGCAGTCGCTGCCTCTGCCAGCGTTAACGTCACCAGCAGCAAGGAGAATGATAACGGTAAGCGGAGCACCAAATGACAAGCGGTACACAAATAGGTCTCCATAAACAGTACCAATTAAATGTTACAGCCTGCACCGTGAAACTCACACTGTTCCAAAAACAATTTTGATCTTCTGTAAATAATCTCACAATTATTTGCTCAAATTTCCATATACCATGTACTCTAAAATAAATCCAAATAAAAGCACAGTAGATAAACAAAAATCTCTCAAAAAGAGTCGATTACGATTACATTAACGATAAACAATGTAGGAATCATTATCTATTCTACAATGTAAATTTCTCCAAGACGCTTATTTATCGAAAGATAAACTTAATTTTTTTTTGTCCATATAACCTATCACCATTAAATTATATAGTACTTTCGTAAGACCCTTGAATAGGTTAACAAAATCGCACTAGGGAAAAATTGTACATTAACTTAGGTCCGGTTTCCCACTTTCGAGTTGCCAAACGCGATTATTGTACCCACATTGAGTTTAAGTTCTCTCCACACTTTCTCGAGTTTCCTAACGGTTGGCTTACGCGATATTTGTGTCCACATTGGGCTAAGTCCATACGTCATTTCCTTATATTTCCTTTAATTTTAAATAAGTTCTAAAAGAGCTGGGCTAGTGGTGTATGGAAATATTGTTGTTTAGTAGGCCAAAAATATCCTAAACAGTCTATTATTTAAAAATAAATCCAACAAAATCGTACGAAATTCTATTTAACTAAATTTTTGCTCATCAATAGGTTATCTTATTATTATTTTGTCGTTAAATGTGGCAGGTAAATTAGGTAACCTGGTTGAGGAACCATAAGAAAGTGTTGTGAAGGACAAATTTTCTTTTATTAAATCAGCTGCAAAATTCTTTTCCTCTTGATCTTTTGAAAAAGAGGCGCCTTCTTGTCTAATAGCTTAGTTACACTTACAAGTTTGCCATTGTTCTGGGAGTAAACGCAATCAAGCAGAACTGCCCTATTGCACTTCGCAAACTCGAGTATATGCGTGTAGGTGTAAGTGCTTTATATATATATTTGTTTTAATTTGCAAATTAATACTAACAAAATAAGATAAAAGAATACCAAAGCTAACAAAAATAACTTAGTACTATGGCTAAAAGACAGGACAATTTTGGCACTGATCGTATATGCTATGGGTACTTGAAGTACTTCGAAGGTATCCTCCTGCATTCATTGTTTTTTGTAGCTCGTGCTTAAACTCTAAAAATACAAGTTTGACACCAAACGTCCAAGTGTAAATAAGGAATACGGGTACAAGTTAGTATAAGTTCTATGTGAGAGGATATGTGTCGCTCTAAAAAACCAATTTAATTTTAATTTAATTTATCTCATGTAACGATAATCGAAATTCAAATATTTTCTGTAAAAACCTTTGACTTGCTTAAAATAAATAATATAATAAGGATAAACAAAACTAAAGTGAACAAAAACTACTTGCCATCAATATGATGTACTATGATTAGTATGACGGCAGGTAATTTTTCGATTACGAAGGCCCCAATGAGTCAAATGACAGCTTAAGCAACGACAAACTTAAAATCTACATATATTCTCATATCTTTTTTTCCAAGTTTTTTTGTTGGTGGTGATAGTTGTGCAGGATAGTCGAGTGAAAGCTCGAATGTCGAAAAGAAATCGAAAATCTTATACCGTCATTATGTCCCTACCCCCAAACCTTTTTAATGGCAACCAGTCTTAATTTTATTTTATTTTAGTTCTCGTTTTTATTACCTAGGGCTTACGCTGAAGTCTTAAAATATATTACAACATACACAGCATAACACTTTTCAAAATACAGTTTTATAATTTAAAATTGGGTGTTTGAATTGCATTCATAGTAGCTAATAGTTGGGGCTTCAGAAGTCGGACTGTGGATCTCAGTTTACATCGCACAAAAACTTGCCCACGCCAGCGAGTGTGCATGTTGCAACACTTTTCAACGGAGGTCGCTGAACTGCGCCGTGTGTTTTTTTTAAAATTGTGTTTTTGGAGGCCAAGCGAACGGAGTACGACAGCAATAGCATAGTAATAGTAGTAGTGTTTGGCTTTTGTCTCACTGTTGTTGCGCAATTGGCAGCACAGATCATTGGCCAGGCGGCCATCCAACGATTGCGATTACTCAGCAGTTCGTCAAGGTGCTCCAATAGCATTTGCTTCAAATTCCTAGACAGCTTGGCAACCAAACTAAAATGATTATTTTTAGCCACTTACAGTTGGTGCTTATAAAATCAAGCAATTCACCTTTAAAGGCAAAATAGTTCTTATCACAATACTTTTCCATAAAATTTCAATATATTTAACTTTTAAAACTGCCAGTAGTAAAACTCTTTTAAGTAACAATACTTCTGACAACATGTTAGTGTCATTTAAATTATAGAACTGCCGACTCTAAATTTAAAACCTCTAAAATACTAAAATTCTCAAAATTAATTTATAATTGACTAGTTATAAGGGAATACCTTTTGCAGAGGATATTCTTATAAAAAGCTGGAGTAAAAAAAATGTAAAGTTTTTGTTTTCATAAATTATGATCTAATCACCAAATTTTATTTAATTATTGAAGAGATCTTAACCAAATCTCAATAGTTTTTGGTGTCATTTTAATAGGTCATATTAGTTCAATGCAATTCAGGTTTGGATATATTATTACTTGTGCAGGTACTGAACTGAAATTTAAAATGCCTTTGACACCAACCAGGGTCGCATAAAAGGTGAAGGGAAAAATAAGTGATATTTTCGAGAGTTTTCCGTTGTTCAATTACCTCAAGGGTGTTTTTATTTTTCACTATCAATTTCTTGGTGTCGTTGCTTATCTTCCAGTGTTTGCTTTTTTTCTATTTCAAGTCAACAATCTGGCGTTGCTCGCTTCGCTGACGTTACAAAAAGTGCTAAATATCAACAATAACAATAACCACCACAGCAGCAACAACAACAATAACAACCATAGCCACAGCAGCGATATCAGACAACACGAGCAACAAAAACAGCAGCAACCACAACGACGAAACCTCGATATTAAGAGCGAGAATGATGTATTGAACCATTTGTTAAAAACTGGAGCTGTTTTCACCAAAACCGCCACTCCCACAGCGCCCATTGCCATTGAGAGAAAGAAGCAGTCGCAGCAGCAGCAGATACATCAATATGCACAACATCAGCAACAGCAGCAACATAGCAGCGCACAGAAGCAACGCCTCAACTCATCCATATCATCGACCCATTCATCAACATCAACGAACTCGTCCTACGGCAGCTCATCCTCGGAAGATGCTGCAGCCGCATCTGCAACATTGGCAGCATCTGCCACACTAGCACCATTAACACCAAGAACAAACACCGCAAAGGCGTCCAGCATTAAATTGCCAGAAAAATCGAAAATTCCGTCCGATATACTTGATGATCTGGCCAGTCGATTTATAATCAATGTACCGGACATGGAGCTGAATAATCTAATACGAATGTGTTTTCAAATCGAGCTGGCCCACTGGTTCTACTTGGATTTCTTTTGTGCCCCCGAAACTGGTGAGGATGGCGAGACCCTGAAGTGTATCCAGCGAAAGCTACCGACGGTGGGCATTAAGCAATTTGCCATGCAGTTGTTCCAAGTGAGTGTCGGATTTGTTGTTTTATTTTTCCACAAAATCTGTAACTTGTGTATTTTTTCCATCAGCACATTCCCTTCCTGAACAAACATTTTGGCACCGTGGATCAAATCCTGGACGAGTGGAAGAACTACAAGCTGTCGGTGCCCACATACGGAGCTATTCTGGTTTCCGAGGACCACAATCAATGCTTGCTAGTCCAGTCCTTCTTTGCACGCAACTCCTGGGGATTTCCCAAGGGCAAGATTAACGAGAATGAGGATCCAGCACATTGTGCCACGAGAGAGGCAAGTCGTGGATTGTGCATGAATTAATTTGACCTGCAACTTTGCTAAATATAATGTTTGCATTCTTTATTAACCCCTATCGACTCAAATTTTTTATCTGTGTTAGGATTATCTTTTTTAACCTATGGGCTTGTGGGTTAAAGATTAAGATTACTTAGACTTAATCAGATTTTGAATTTGCTGCCAGAAAACAGAGTTGAATGTATCTTATAATCTTATTTTTCTGTTCTCCATTTTGGCGCCTGCAGGTTTATGAGGAGACCGGGTTCGACATCACGGATCTCATTGATGCCAACGACTACATCGAGGCTTCTATTAACTATCAGTACACGCGACTGTACGTTGTGCGTAACGTACCGCTGGACACACCTTTTGCGCCACGCACCCGCAACGAGATCAAGTGCTGCGACTGGTTCCGCATCGATTCGCTGCCGGTGAACAAGAACGATGCCATATCGAAGGCCAAGTTAGGCAAGACCTCCAACTCCTTCTTCATGATCATGCCGTTTGTGAAGCGCCTGAAGAAGTGGGTGAACGATAGGAAAGCTGGAATCGAGCCACGTCGCCGCAAATGCTCCGATCAGCAATCTCCGAAAGCAGCCTCGCCCACAAACATAAACGGAAGTTGCAAAAAGGACGCTGCAGGAGTGCGAAATGAATCGCGACGTCAGCGACATAAGTCCATGGGGGATTTGGACGGTGTCAAGTTGAATAATCTCAATGGCAGGGTGGCCTCTGGGCCAGGAGCGGTATTAGCAGCACCCGCCTCAGCCACCATGGCCATCAACTCGATGAACATTTGCAATAGCAATGGGAAGCGCAATAAACCAAATGCGGCTGCGGGCAGCAATCAAACAACGCCACTAACAACAGCAACGGCAGTGACGTCAAACGGAGCCGTCGGAGGCGGCACAATGTCCTCAAAGCGTCAACTGTTCCATAGCCAAAGTCAGAACGATGCACAGCAGTCGGCAAGCAATGAGAAGGTGAGTTCGGCCGGTCATGTCAGGTATTCACCTCATTTATAAACATCACTCTTCAGCAGATTGTCAGCTCCTTTGATTTAATTCGCAAGGAGAAGCAGCTACAACTTAAGGCAGCTAAGGCGCAGAAGCAGCAAGAGCAGCAGCAACAGCGATTACGCACCAAGTCCCAGAGTGATAAGCAGTTCAATCCACAGCAACCAGTAAGGATCCTGGGGCAACAGCAGCCCACAACTGGCATGGATTTGATAGCCATGCTATCGGCCGCGGCGGCAGCTCAAAAGGCACCAAAGAACGAGCAGCAAATACAGCAACAGCAACAACGACCACGACCAGCTTCGGTGTCGCTGAACCTTGGAGCAGGCAGTGCCGCAGGACCCAACGCAACCGCTCCGGAAGCCCAGAACATGCACACGCTGCAGCGAATGGCGTCGGGCACAAATTTGAGGATTCTGAAGCGAGCACAGTCGCAGCAACCGCCGCAACAACAGCTGCAGCAACACCAGTTGCAACACCAACACCAGTTGCAACACCAACAGCAACAGCAGCAGTTGGGCGCTGACTTTACGCCCAATTTTAATTCGTGGACGAATTTCTCTTTCACCAAGAACTTCATAGCAAATGTGTTTTGCTAAACTTTTATTTTTGAGTCAAATAACTTTCTTTCAAAATTCTCAACTTATGCATTTTCCAGCGAAAGACCAGGTTACAGGAAACACCGAATAGTTTAGCAGGCTTTGTGGAGTTGAACAACTCGCGCTTTTGGGAAAAAGATTCTTTGGAGACTTACCAGAAAATGAAAGCATGCCAATTGCATTTAACAAGTTCATTTGTTATAAAACTAACACTACAACTACCAACACTATAGACAACTAATCATGTCTAGTCCTAGGCTTTGGAGACTATGTATTAAAGTAAAGTTTCCCGATCTCTAAACTGGAGATTAAACTTTTCCCCGCATATTCTACATTAGGAAACTGCGACCACACTCAAACTGAAAACTTGAATGCGATCAATTGTATAAGTCATTTTTAATACAAAAAACAACAAAATTTGCATACCAAAAAAAAAGAATCAAAAAACGAGAGTCTTCCGCTCAGCACATGTAAAGTAATATTTTGTAAAAACACTACAATCGCTGTTCGACTTTAAGATCCAAGTGAGAACAAACAGATTGAGTATAATTATGTTAGAATCCTTCCTGTATAAGCTAAAAGTGTTTATTGTGAGCCAAGTGAACCAAGCCTACTTCGAGCCGAGTGCTCGCCGTTTGAACGTATTTTTAGATACAACCCACAAACTTAATCTAACTTAACTAAAGCGTAGCTTTAACAAGCCCCGGGTACAGATCGTTTTGCTTTAATTTCAAAGTCTACTGTTGACTTTTTGTAAGGGCAACAAAACGCTTCTGCGGAGCGAAATTATAACACTTAATATTTCTGGGCCGTATTACTTACTGCCCGCCCCACCTACGAATGATAGACGAGAGAAATGTGTAAGAAAAAATACAAATAATAACAATGTAAATAATTAAATTGTGATATAGTATTTCTTAGCACAATTGTGATCTTAACAAACGGCTGGCAACTACAAAAAATTTTATAAGTGAACCACAATACCATTTTAATCAATCAAAAAATGCCCTGCACACCAACCGTTCAAAATTAAGACCCACTTTCCAACAATCAGGGGCAATAACAGGCATATCTAGGCAGAAAATGTTTCGTCAATATTTTTTTGACAACTTGGGAATGCCAAGATTAAAATGTTAAAACAAAACATTTAACGAATTTAAATTAGTTTTAAATTGAATGCTTAAAACGTTTTCAATCATGATAAATTTGTATGATATACACGAACTAAGGTAAAAGTATTCGAGCGATTTGTAATTTTATGAAAACCAGAAGAGAAGTATATTTTTGTGAGCCAATAGTGCGTAAGAAAGAGGAGAAGCCTTTTAAAAAATGTTAAGTCTTTTGATAAATATGCGTAGTTGGTTAAGGTTTTCTACCAAACCAAGTTTCCTAAAATTCGTAACCATGTCGCGACATGTTAACTAATTCCTCCATCATGCGTAGTCTCCAATGTGTGAAACAGTTGCCTATTTAGCGTATATCTTTAGACTAAGCAATGATCTGCAATGTCTCCAAGGTCGTAATCCCAGAGTCTATAAGTTTACAGCAGCGAAAATGAAAAGAAGTTCCCTGTAATTCGGTCTTTGGTGTATAATTCGGTACTAGTTCTTTAATCTTAACCAAAAAACAGTAAGAAATTTGCATTTGCTTTAAATCTTTTACCATTGACTTTTAAAGCTTTTTGAAAAGCCATATTAATTTGTATTTTATATGTTAACACATGCTGCAAATTTGTTTTAAACATTTCTCTTTTAATTTGGATTTGGATTATATTTAATTTTTACTAAAAAATGTATAGTTTAAATTTTTATTTTTTGGAAACTCAGCTAAATACGTTTCCAGCCGCCTTAGGACAAATGCCTGATGAAATTGTCAACAATTTCGATTTATTTTGATGTGTTACCTTCCTTCCTAGTACAAAACATAATCTTAATTTCTTTGGACATTTGTCTGGGCCATGCAAGAAAAAAACTTATCAATCAAGCGATGAATATCAAAATACACACAAGAACAACATCGTTTACTCTGCTTGAAAACTACAAGAATCCCAAAAATTAAATATTGTAAAGTTTTGTTGTGAAAAAGAATCATAAACAAAAGCAAAGTGAAACATTTAAATTAAAAACCCTAAATTCTTTCAAAACCTACAATAATTCTGATTTGAAAAACTGCAATCTTGTTTAAATTCGTCCCAATCCCCAAAACCATATAATTTTCTTTAGTTTTTTTTTTGTTAAAATTCATAGACGTAGCTATAATTAACTTTAATAAAGGGCTCCTGAATCAACAACCGGAAACATTAAGTTAATTTAAGTGAACGTTCGGTGCGTGAGGACTTGATATATTAAAATCTTGCCAACACCTGAAAGTCTGCACCGCCCAACGATCTGAGTGATCCAAATACTCGCTCCAAGCTAAATTTGCGATGCATTTTAACCATTGTATCCAAAAACAAAAACGCAAAACAAATCTGTAAACACGTCCAAAACATAAACTGAGGTCGTGAGTACACTAGAATAGATTTCGTGAAAACAAAATGAATCCAAATAAAAATACGACCGAAACAATCAAGTATTCAAAATTATTAGGCGAGTGATTCTATTCTTGTGTAAGCATCTCCTTCAAAACCATACGATATCAAAAATACAATTTTGTAGAAATTAATGCCAAAACAACCAAATACGAAAAACAAAGTTAACTCTCAAATCAAGAATATTTGTAAAGTAAAAGATTATCAAATAACTAATTTGTGGCAATATATATTTCCTATATTTTTTCCCCCAAAATTCCGGCAATAAATTGATGTACCAAGTTTTAAAAAATTATTTTTTATTTATGTTATTGGGAAAGAAGTTTAACATTTTTTGAAATCTAGATTCTTAGATGATAAAACACGGAACTTTAGAGGCATATTATTACTGACTTTCAAAGAAAGAACTTCCCCAAAATCATATTCCAATTTTATTTGTCTTTTAAATCCGTTAATATTCTCCGTATTTCCAGTTTCAGAACATGAACATCACATGACCAAATGTAAGCATCTCCATTTAAAAAATTTTTGTTTTCCGATGTCGAATAAGTTTTTTTATGATTTCACTATAGTAACAATTATTTTCATAATTTATTTTTTAAATATTTTTCAACAAACTAAATAAAGAAATTTCAGCTTTATTATACCTTTAGTAGTATATTAAATAATAAGAATATTTTTTTGAACATGTTGCAGACAGACCTTTAATATGAACTATTTACTAGATATCTTTTTTGAGCTTTGATCTCTGACATCTATGTATTTTCCATGTTGCAAGGTTAGTTCTTTGGGCAGGCTGATGAACTGTCCTCCGTTAGAAAAAAGGGGGTGGAGGACATCCGGGGAAACGCGAACCGCTACGGCTCTTAATTGTCGTTTGCCGTAGGGCACCTTTCGGCCATCCGGTTCCACCCGTTGCTTGGGATCTAGGGTCATAAACTGACCCTCCCGTAAGTGCGAACGCATGTGGGTAGAGTAATTTTTGCCCTTTATCGCAGTGTTACATCCCGCATGGGGACACGGGTGGAACCGATCCCTGTGCCACTGCAAGTGCTGTAAATAGCGCGTGTACACCCGGAATTTTCGATTGCAATACTCATAGCTGCATCCGTAGGCCTTCGGATTATCGGTTACGGAAATAAAATTGTGTCCCCGCAGTTGCCTCTTGAAGGTTGGGGAAGAGTGTGCGATGTTCTCGTGTCGGATTACGTCGAAGAAACGTGGGAATATCTCGTTGCATTTAAGGCACAAAAATTCCAGGTCCCTACCGCCGCATTTCGACTTGAAATGACCCATCGTCTCTATGTGTGTCTGTAGTTCGCGAATAGTGAAAAAATCGGAGGCGCATTCGCGGCAATAGTAGGCCGGGTTCGGACGCGCTATGCCACTGTGCATCCGGATGTGGGCCAGGTTTTCCAGGACATTGTCGCAGCAGGTGCACATCATACGGGCGGCCTTGGTCTTGTCCTTAAAGAACTTCGTCATCGCCAAACCATCACGTGACAGGCCCACGGAAAAGAATTCCCTGTCCGAGGGATCCAAAAGTTCCTCCGCGGTCAATTCCATAACATCGTTTTGGTCATATTTTCCGGCTGATTCCGCCTCCTCCCCATTCCCCACAGACTGAAGCTCCAACTTGACCTCGTTTTGGTCGGATAGATCATCATTTTCCCACTCTGGCTCTTCCACATAATCTTTTCGGGCTAATTCCTCCTCATCCTCCGAAGACGGAGCCTCCAACTTGACCTGAAACACCTGAGAGTCGTCTATTTCGAGGGGCTTATCCTGAATTTCTTCCTGGGCTTTGCTCCATTTCTCTAAGGATTCGCTTATACGCAAAACGAGCTCAAAACAAGATTCGCAAATGCACGAACTCTTTCCCAGGATGGCGATCTAAAAAATGGCAAATTAATATATAACATCTATTGAACAAATTTTTCCAAACTTACATCAATTTTGTAGCAATCGAAGAGTCTGTGAAGCAGTTTGTTGGCCGATTTAATCTTGGGCTTCTCGGGAACAAATTGACCTCTAATTGCCTTGCATAATCTGCAGAGCTCTTCATCCATTTCACGAATTTTTCAATTATTTTTGATAATTCATCAAAATACTCGATGAAGAAATTGGAGCTGAAAAATAATCAATGTTTTCATCGATGTTGACTTTAAATACAGAGACATCGCACTATCGATAACTGGTAAATTCCCCTCAGCAGATCTGATATTAATTTCGATAATCAATTTTATTTATCGATGTTTATTCCTAATTTAAAGTGCTCTCCACCAAAGACCAATATAATCAATTTATATTGGTCTTTGTCTCCACCCTGCCTCGGATTTCCTGTCGTTTGATTTGTGTCCACATTGGGCTAAATCCATAACTTGAGTTATGAACAGCTTTTCTTCTTTTGATTTCGATACGAAATGTGACAAATTTTCGTCCGTCGTTAAAAAAGCTGTGAAAGTGGTGTTAGTATCAAAAGATTGCCGTCTAACAGGACAATATTGTCGCTAATATTATATTATTATCTAATAAATTCAGAAAACTTGGCCCAAATATTATGCTAAACCTATGAAAAATAACAGAGTTTTGCAGTGTGGTTGGCACCTTAGATTCGATGTTAACGGAACATATTTCAAAACTTAAAAATCGTTTGTTTCTTAGGACCAATATTCTTAAGACCGTCTGCTCGGATAGTTAACTGAAATTGGAATTTTCGGTTGGAAATAACTTTATCTAACTATGCTTTATGTAAGAATCTTCGGGGAGGATTTGAATAATAAAATCTCCAAATGTTTTCTGATTGTTCTGGATCAGAACCAGTTCTCGTTTTTTTTTGGAGTAGAAGCTTTTTCTTATTTTTCATGTGATAGTTAAGATTTGAGTGACAGTTTTTGGTGAGTCTCGAATTCATGCATGCCCTTATGTTGATTCTTCAAGTGCTTGCCGTAGTCTGCCAGAATGAGGAACAACGTGTCGAACTCCAAACAATGGAATTCCCCCGGACTTAGTGTTTTGTGGCGTTTGACAGCACTTTAGGCATTGATATTCTATATCCCTAACATGGTTTTTCTTTTCTCTTTATTTCCGGGGCACTTGGAAAATAGGCTTCGCCATCGTGGCATATGTAAACAGGATTATTACGTTCCACGCAATTGCGCTTCCGAACAGGGGCTATGTTGCCAAGACCAAGATCAGAGCAAGTGCAAATAATTTGTCAGAGGCATCCAACTTGATCGCCAAGATTTCGTCTATATCTGTAGTGTCGATACTCTTTACCTGAAAATATTTTGATATTTTGAAGTGGCGGTTGTAAAGATTTCTCCTCGTGAAATACAATATTGTCTGTTGTTGAAGGTCTCATTTTCCGCGGTTCGGGATATTCGTGTGAATAAGAACAGTCAAGACTTCGTCTATATCGGGGGTATCAATGCTCTTGTCCTGGAATACTCCCGGTTCTACGTAGTTATGTTTGGGTTTTTCTAAGGGTTTCTTCTATGGATGTACCATATCAAACAATGAAAAGGTTCTTCCTCGCCTTCTAACAGGATCTATAATACATTCATTTTTTCTTGACATTTCCCTGGACTTTCATCTATTTTTTGAGAGATTCCCTTATATTACAAGCCAATCTAAAAGTAAAAGATACATTTATAGTGTAAAGGGGAATATATTCGTTGCAGGTTTTTTGTTGACTTAAATAGGGGCTGCATTATGTCTACCTTAAATCTAAAATGTTTCATTAATTTTTAAAGTTTTGTTAAGGAAAAAAACCGGAAACAAATACAAAATATGTAAACAAATTCTTCGAATTACATTGCATATATATTCAAAAACATCGATAGGTCATGAACCAAAAAAACCGATTTATTAAATCTTTAGAGGTTTTGCAGCACTGCCTATCAAAATATTTAGCTGTTTTCTTAAAAATATTTTCTAAAAAAAAACTTAGAAATTTAACTGCGTTAAAAAAATAATATAAACAAAATTTTTTATTGGCTTGATTTTCTCAAAAGAACATAGTTTTTTTTACACTGAATTCTTTTTAAACATATACCCGAAATTCGTTGTATATACAAACTGTAATGAGTGTGACATTTAATTTTTAATATATCTATAAAAGCCAAAAAAGGTTTTTTTTTATAAAAGACTAAGTAAAGTAAACAAACTAGAAAACTAGTTCCTATCGATAGGAAAAAGGTTTTTTGTTATAAAAGACTAAGTAAAGTAAACAAACTAGAAACCTAGTTCCTATCGATAGACACCGACTATCGATAAGCCTTATCGGCAACCAGAATCGCGAACTAGTTCGTTTGTGTGCACCAGAACGCAAAGTACAACAGGATTTTTTTCGTTCCGTGTGGCGTGAAAAGTGCACATAATAATTGTTCAAATTAGTTTAAGCCTAGTTAACTAGACAAACCAATAGCCATGGTAGGTAGTTGTTTAAAAATTGCGATAAATAATGATATTCGAATGCTGACGCAGTGACGTGTGCGGGTGTGTGTGTGGTGTGAGCCGCGCGTTACGCGAATGTGTGTGCTTGTGTGGCAATGTGTGCGTGTTAAAAAAAGCGGCCGCCGCGTCACAATACAAAATTGTGCTTCGATTTTTCCTAATTGCATTTCGATTTTTCCGTTTTCCGATGCCGTTGCCATTTTCCGGAACAGTCGTTTGCGGAAAAGATAACGGGCCTGCTGGCACGGCCGAATCAACAAGATCCAATTGGACCGGAGCAGCCCTGGTATCTCAAATATGGCAGTCGACTGCTGGGCATTGTGGCCGCCTTCTGTAAGTCTTATTTAGGTTAAAATATATACGCTATAATATAAACCCTTAAAGACCAAAAAAAATTGAGCCGTGACATTGGGCGGCCCAAAAATATGTTGCATCGATTTTTGTGTACCACTCGTTGTTGTTGCTGTTATCTATTCGTAGGTGTAGGTGTGAAGTGTGTTCGTGTTTGTGTGTGTGTACGCACGCTCTCTGACATTGATAAAGAAAGGAGAGACGGAGAGAGTGAGAGAGAAAAGAGGATACACGGAAAAGACGGCACAGAAAGGATACACAAATTCCTACACAGAAAAAATGTTTATTGTATGACACAAAGTTGTATCATTTTACACATTAATTAATGTTAATTTTTTAAAAAGGGGTAAGCCAAATTTTATTGAAAGAAATTCATTAATAATACATATTTACACGAAAGTTTATCAAAAGTCGTAGGATGGTTGGAATTTAAATCCGTTTTTTGTATAAATGACAAATGCTCAATGCTTTATTAAACACTTTTTAGTGATCAAGTGTAGTTTTGAAAAAGATACACACCTTTTTTCTGTGTACAGGATATGCCATGTGTGTAAAGAAGCTTTTCTGTGTCAAGTTTGGCGCTCTGCTTTTTTTTTGCATGTCAAATGTAATTCTCTGTGGCCATTCGCTTGTAATTCGCATTGCCTTTTGTTTTATCAGCAGCCTCGTTTCTTTACCACCCTCTCTGTATTTTATTTCCTTTTGCCTGATTTGCGTATTTTCTTTGTTATCTGTACCCATTTAACCTTAACCCTTGGGTTGTCCCTCGTGTCATAATAGTAACATCGCAAAAATGACTCACTAAGTTTTATAGAATATACTCTTTTCTGTCAAAGTCAATTTCATCATCATTGTCAGATTGTGATCTACAAATGCATTTGATCGAACTAATTATTAATCTTTAAGTCGACGTCCTTCGTTGCAGTAAGTGATTTGGCTTATCGAATATTCACCTTGCATTTCATTTTCTTATATGTTAAGCATATAGTTTTCAAGCTATTTTAAAACAATTTTTAATATTCTGGTTAAGTATTAAATATATATTTAAATAAAAAAAAGTATAGATTCAAAGTAATTATTTCTTCAATTTAAAATTTTGTTTAGATATCAAATAATTTTCAAGCCTTTTAATCTGTATTTTGTATCAGGTCATTCACATTAATATATTTAAAATTCGACATAGACACATTATTTTTATCTGATTTAAAAACACTAAAACACTAGCGTTCTTACTGATTTAATCTTTATTAACTTATTTTAAAAAATGCCGGAAGTATAATTTTACAAATTCAAATAATTTTGCTTTGTAATATATATTATATAAAAACTTTTTTTTTGAAAAATAAATATTTGTATTGTTATTTGGTATGATTTAAGAGGGTTAACCATTTTTTTTCAATGAAGTTTTTTTTTACTGAACGATTTTCTTTGGGTTTGTACAATCGTATAGTTTGTTATTGTATTCTCTGACGATTCTCACTTACTTAGGGTAATGGAGAAATTTCTATCAAGCAATTGTTGCCCAACAAATGGACACCATCCACTTAAAATCAATATAAATAGCTGAATACCTCAATTAAGGGAGCAAAACTCACTCGTGCGGCTTCCACATTAAAACCGGTTGTGTTTGGCTAAAATAAAACCAAAAGTCTATGATTAATAAATAATTTTTAAGCCGGTTCGCAGAGCACAACGACTTCTTCCCCAAGTTGGGTCAGTTTGGCTGGCTTTATGAACCGCGATAACCACAAAACCCAGATCGGATTTCGCAAAAGGAAAAATAAAACCTGCATTAAAAAAACTAAGAGAATTTAAAGTAGTGACACAGATAAAAAAAATGTTTACTATTAATTAAATTAAATTCTTAAACTGTACGAATTAAACTCTCCCTCGTGATCTTTCGTAACATTTTGTTTTGCAGCTTGTATCCAATTATCACGCACAGACAATTATTTATCTAAGAATTAAAAACATATTTGTTGTTTACGCTTTTATCATGGTCCAAAGGCAGCTGATATAATATTTTAATGTAATTTCCTTGTACGCCCCTTACGTTATCAAGTTGAATTAAGAACATACTTTCCCAAAAAGTCTATTAAAAATTTGCCCAACTGTTTTTGTAGCTTGATGTCACGCTTCTGTAGCTGGCTTTTGTAGTTCATTTTCTAAAAAAAAAAAGTTAAGAATTGGCACACATTAGTCAGCGTTCTTGATTAGATTGCGTTTGGAGCGTTCCGATGAGATAATAGGTTTAGTGGGAGTACGTGATTAACATTTTTGGACAGTCCCCAGGGTCAGTGTTTTAAGATAAAGAAATACGCCTTTCTCTCATAATTGTACAACTATACAAAAAA